TATGAAAGTGATGTGGATGTTGGCTAAGGAGAGGAGCTCGGCGAGCTTCAGCATCGGGGATGCGTTGCCCTGGGAGGGGAAAGTGAAAATTACAGCGTGAGCGGCCATTTGAAACAGACAAGAGGAATGCAGCAGGGAGGACAGAGAGGGTAAGCCGGGACAAGTCGGTAAGTTCTCCTTTTCAACGTATGTTCGATAAATTCAAGATTTACTTGGAACTATTTTTTATGACAAAAAAGAATATTTTATGGATAATTGTTAAAGTGAATCAAAGTCACTTTGTAGTCCAAAGTTATTCCAAAACAAAAAATGGCTCAATAAATAGAAAGAAAAGAAAAACTACTTTACTACTAGCCTATTAGAGCTATAAGAACAAGATGAAGTGTCATTTGAGCCACATTTTCACAATATTATTGAATTTGAAATACACACTAAGAGACTGAGACATTTACATATATAATACACAATCATTGAGTATTTATAAAATTTCACATTTACATATATGTCACTCAAATATTTAATATCACACAATAAATAACACTATTATAACTTTTTAAAAGTGAAATATAGTATTTCATGCACTTATTTAAGAGACGAAAATGATTGTATGTAAATATGAAGGTTTAGGTGTGAGATATATAAATACATGAGAACTATGTTTGCATAATGGTTTTTGCATTGTAATCCTTAAATTTGATATTTCCTTGCAAGGAGAGAAAAAGTTTTATAGATCTTTATCAACATTATGTGTTGAATCTAAATATGTCCAGGAGACACACAAGAAATAGAGCATCCGGGATCGAAAGAAGGGAGGGAGAGATAGAATAATAATGCAGTATTGAACAGTGAAAGTGTGCGTAAAATGGGCCCCGCCTTTTATAGGAAGGAGTCTTAAATACAATTACATAATGTACCCCTACGGTACGTAGGTACGGTGGAGGTACTTTGAATATTTTATCAGTTTTAGGATCTTTGATATCCACAACTCCATAGGGATAAACTTTTATCACAACAGATGGGCTCATCCATCTGGACTTAAGTTTGCTTAGAAATAATCTTAACCTTGCATTTTATAGCAGAACTTGTTGCACTGGCTCAAAATTTTTAGTAAGAATCCCCTGATCATGTCACATCTTCATCTTTTCATTATAAATCTTAGTACTCTCATAAGATTCATTCATTATCCCTTCAAGTTCATTTAATTGCAATAGTCTTTTCTCACTAACATCCTTTAAATTGTAGTTAAATTCTTTAATAGCCCAATATGTTTCATGCTCTAGCTCAACTGGTAAGTGACAAGCTTTCCCAAATATTAGTCTGTATGGGGACATTCTTATAGGAGTTCTATATGCAGTCCTATAAGCCTACAAAGCATAGTCAAGTTTGACTGACCAATCCATTTTGATTGGATTCACAGATTTTTTTCAATATTCTTTTAATTTCACAATTGGATAATTCAGTCAAATCACTTGTCTAAGGATGATAAGCAGTAGCAATTCGATGGTTAATATGATATTTCTTTAATAATTTCTCCATCATTGCATTTATGAAATGACTTCCCCCATTAGTTATGACCACTCTCGGTATCCCAAATCTATAAAATATATTTGTCTTTAAAAACTTTACAACACTTTGAGCATCACATCGAGGTAAATCAACAACTTCTATACTTTTAGATACATAGTCTGCTGCTAATAATATATATAAATTTCTGAAAGATGGTATAAATGGTCTCATGAAATCTAATCCTCAAACATCAAATACCTCAACTTTTAATACATAATTGAGGGGCATCTCATTTCTCTTAGAAATATTTCCTACTCATTAACATCGATCACAAGTTTTAATATAAGCGTTAACATCTCTAAAAATTGTAGGCCAATAAAATCCAGATTGCAAAATTTTGTATGTTGTTTTATGAACACCAAAATGTCCTCCAAAATCAGAATTATGACATTTTTAGATAATTTCATAAGTTTCTATAAGTTTCTTCTAAAGGCACACATCTTCAAATAATAAGATTATTTCCTTATTTATATAAAAATGGATCATCCAAAAAATAAGTCTTAGCTTCAGATAAAAATTTCCCCTTCTTTTGGTATATCATTCCATAGGGTATGATATCACTAACAATGAAGTTCACAATGTCGGCATACCATGGTCATACAATGGAACACACCACTCATTAACATTGAACAATTTTTCATCTAGAAAATGTTCATTAATCTCTTTTTCAAAATTCATTAATTTCTTTTTCAAAATAGGGTGCTTTTTTTAATTCAAGCCTGGACAGATAATCAACAATTTGATTCTCAGCTCCCTTCCTATTTACTATCTTAAAGTCAAATTTTTGTAAAAGAATAATCCATCTTATAAGTTTTTGTTTTGCATTCTTTTTTTTCATTAAATACTTAATAGCAGAATGATCAGTAAGCACAATGCATTTAAAGCACAATACATTTAATTCCAATTAATTATGATCTGAATTTATCAAAAGCATATACTACAACTAATAACTCTTTCTCGGTTGTGGTATAATTAATTTGAGCTTCATTAAAATTTCTACTAGCATAGTAGATTACTTTAAAAATCTTATCATGTTTTTGTCCTCAAACAACTCTAATAACATAATTACTAGCATCACACATTAATTCCAAAGATTTTCCCCAATCTGGTGAAACAATAATTGGTGCAGTGAATAATTTTTATTTTAATATTCAAATGCTTTTAGACACTCCTTATCAAAATTAAAAATTTCATCTTTTCAAATAAATGGCATAGTGGCTTAGCAAATTTTGAAAAGTCTTGATTGTATCGCCTGTAGAGTCCAGCATGTCCTTAAAAACGCTTAATTTCCTTCACACTTGTTGGGTAAGGTAAATTAGCGATCACTTGAATTTTTGCACGGTCTACTTCCAAACCATTTTCTGAAAACTGATGTTCTAAAACAATTCCTCCTCTTACCATAAATTGGTATTTTTCCTAGATGAAGACCAAATTTGTTTCTTCATAGCGCTTAAGAATTTTTTGATAAATGTTCTAAACATGATTTAAATGAAGTTCCAAACACTAAAAAATCATCTAGGAAAACTTTAATTCTTTTTTCAATTAAATCACAAAAAATAGCCATCATGTATCTTTGAAATGTAGTAGGGGCGTTACATAAACCAAATGGCATTCTTTTAAAAGCAAATGTACCATAATGAATAACAAAAGTTATTTTCTCTCGATCCTCATGAGCTTTTTTTATTTGGTGACAATCAGTATATCCATCCAAAAAATAAAAGTATTTATGCCCAACTAGTCTATCCAACATTTTATCTAAAAAGGGCAGTGAAAAATGATCTTTCTTAGTGGCGAGATTTAATAATCTATAATCAATGCATATTCACCACCCTATGACTTGTCTTATTTGTGTTAACTCATTATGTTCATTCATAGTCACAGTCACTCCTTATTTCTTAGGAACGCAGTGAATCGAACTAACTCATGCACTATCTGAAGTAGGGTAGATAACTCCAGCATCTAACCACTTTATAGTCTCTTTCTTAACAACTTCATTTTCCTATTAAGAATTTCCTTCATAAACTTGACATAACCTGACGTTTGTTCCAAGGCTTCAACAAATGGAATATTAATTGTAAACTTCTTAAAAGTTTCCATAGATTTTGAAAATTGTTTATCCAAGTTCTGTTGACGGTGCCTATAAGGAAATTGAGGTGATGGTTTTTCAAGTCAACTTTAAGTGGAAAAATAGGACTTTGAGCGTCCTCTTCAGACTCTTTAATTTCTTTTCTCTCTACTGCAGCTCTTTTTGAACTTTATTTTCCAATTCTCTTCCGCTTCTGAGTTGAACAACTTTTACTTGCTCTCTATTTTGGTTTTTTTGATTTACTTCATTATTACTAAGAAATGTTTCTTGGGATCTATTACTTAATGAATTTACTATTTATCCTAATTGATTCTCAATATTTCTAATTGTACCTCCTTGACTTTGTAACTGATTTCCCATTTGTAACACCACTTCTTCTAAAGACAACTTTTTTCTCTTTAAATTGTGGATTGCTATTAAAACCTGGAAGATAAGTAGATCTATAATTACTATTCCCTTGATTGTTCCAGTTTCCTAATGGGTTTACTTGGTTTTTCCCCCATTGTTAATTATTACTACCTGAAGTATTATTCCAGTTAGTTGGGATGATTCTTCCAACCTAGGTTATAATAGTTTAAATATGGGTTATTCTGTTTGTTGTTTATGACATTCAAAGTTTCTAATAATGCTTGAGAATATACTATTTGGCCTAATGAATTCTCTTCAATCATTGCAATTGGTTGACAAAAATTCATTCCAGATTAGTCTAACTTTCTTGAAATTGCAGCAACTTGATTTGCTAACATTGTAAAAGTATCAAATTCATGAATATTTAGTACTTTCTTAGAATTTACCCTTTCAGAAGATTATTGAAAATTATTAGTACTTATCTCATCAATTAAAACATAAGCATCACGAAAAGGTTTTAACATCAATGAACCACCATCAGCAGTATAAATAATAGATCCAAGAGATCCAACTAATCCACTATAAAAAAATTGAATTATTAACTAATCTGGTATAGCATGGTGTGGACACTTTCTCAGTAGTTCTTTAAATTTTTCACATGCTTCATAAATAGATTCCCCTTCAAACTAAAAAAAAATACTGATTAAAAGATGCAATATCATTTCTAAGCTTCGCAGTTTTTTATGGTGAAAAATATTTAGCAAGGAATTTCTGTGTTAAGCTATCCCAAGTTCTGATAGATTCAGGTGCTAACGAATGTATATCTTAGTTGTATCCCTCAGTGAGAAAGGGAAAAGTCTAATTCTTATAGCATCATT